CAGTGAACATCGTAGCAAAGCTTTGGACGAATGAGCAAACACGAGCGGTGGCCCCGAGGATGATATGAAAACTGCCTCACTTGCTGAGACCTGATGTTTTTGCCTTTCTTGATGAAGGCAGGCCAGTCCTTCAGGCTGGTGGTTTGGCTCACATACACGGCTGTTTGTTCGAAATGGACGGCAATGTTGAAGTTACGAGAGAACGCCGGCCGGCACCGAAGCCGCTGGATTTGAAGAAGTCGACGGGAATGAGCCGATACCCCCGAAGACATGCCGACTCCGTAAGTGCCAACGACGCGACCATGAGGAGGTTTGAGATCCACGCAGTGGCACCGATTGCCGCGCAGACCAGAAAATAAAAATAAAAACTGAAAGAAAAAGAAAATAAATAGAATACTAAAGAAAAAAAACAGTTCCCCGCTCGTGCCATTGCCATTGTTTGATGGAGTTGTTGTTGTTTGGAGTTGATGTTGTTGTTGTCGTCTTGCTGAAGTTACTGAATCGCTTACTCCGTCCACGCCAAGGAGGTGCGAAGGGAGGGTTCATCAGAACAAAAAGACGGGAGTTTGTGTGAGGGTAAAGAGTGACAGGTTGATGCAGAAATATGTGAGGAGAAGAAGCTGAAGCTGAAATGGCAGAGCTGAAGATTTTAAAAAATGGACGACAGTGAGACTACACGCCTCCTCCAAACAGCAAGAATTCCAGACCCAGAATGGAGAGGTCATCCGGCGTCGGCGCAGTCAACCAATCCGCCGGGAATTCTGCTGAAGGTGGGGGTAAGTTGTAGTTCCAGTCGTTGGTTGTCGCTGGAGCGGGAAATGGCGTCATGAGAAGTGGGTCCAAAAGGGGGAGGCTTTGGAGACCCATCACGGCAGGGAAATCTGGCTCATGGGGACAGGGGAGTGGCACGTGTGCCGCGAAAAGGTTCCATGTTGTAGAGTCGTAAAAGGGTGTGACTGAAGGTGTGATGAGGAGAGGATTGTTATTGTAGCTGTTGTGGGTGAATGCATCGAAGTCGGCTGGAGGTGTTGGTGTGGCAAATGGGGTCGGCTGCAACAATTGCATCGCGTTGTACTGTGAGTCCATCAGTGAGGGTGCTGGGGTTGCGGCAGTCCGTTTGGTTGGACAATCGACCACTCCGTCCCAAGACATAATTATTGGTGCTGGTGTACGGGGCCTGGGGGTCTCTTGTTCTTCGTGGCGATTCTTCAGCAAAGTGTGCAAGATGCACCCTTCAACTTTGCGATCTTTAACTGGAGCTTTGATTTGCAGAGATCTATTAGTTTACAGTCAAGAGAACGACAGCAAGAAACTAACCACGGGCTTTTGTCAAGATGAAGACTTTAACATGTTCATTACCCTCAGCCTTCTCATCTTCCTTGTCATTCGCAACACCCTCAGTGTCATCCTCCGTGTCTTCATCTTCATCATCTTCTGTATCAGTCTCTGTGTCCTCCTCCTCATCATCATCATCCTCCGTGTTTTCATCAGCATTCTCACCATTCTCCTCCTCAATTCCATTGCTGAAGTCACTTTTCAGCGCGGCTTCACCAGTCTCTTCAAAGCTGGCTGCGATCAACAGTCTGGAATGGCCAGCCGACGGAACTTCTGGTTGGCCTGGAACTGCTGGCTTGGTTGGCTTGGCTGGTGGTGTAGGCAACGGTATTTCTTGGCTGGGAGGTGCAAGGGGGGCAGTGGCACGGTTGGTTGGGGAGCGTTGCGAAAAATACTCGCGCCACGAGTGCATTCGATAGACGAAGTTTTCCACATCTTTGTCATTGCAACAGTGGTGCAAGACTGGGTAGTCCGGCCAAAAGTAATTCTGGAGGTTGTACTCGGCGGAGGGGTGACCACAGATGTTTGTCTGTTATTTAGCAGTCGTTTCTTGGTTCCGACATCTTCTTCTTCGGCCCATGTTCCGAAGTATAATCTCTTGTGGGTGATTGACCCTCTTTCCGATGCATGGTCAGGCAGATTTCTGCCAAACGGCTTCGCGGGCGGCCAGGCGTGGATTTTTTTGGTGGAGGGAGAATAGTCACCGCCTGCTTCGGCATCTTCCTCGCGGTTGCGCTTGATCTATTTTGAAAGTGGAGAAAGTTATTTAGTGACTGGTTTATATAAAACGCGAGGAGAATGGTGTTGTTGTCTTCTATGTTGCCAGCGAGACTGCGCCGCGATAAAAAGCAAACAATATATCCGCCGACACATCGCCCGCTCCTCCTTCAGATGATATGTACGGCAGAATATCAATTATTATAGCCGTATACATATAATCCAGAGCCTGCCATGGGCCGGGTTTTGGATGAAAGATTGACGCGAGCAGATTCACCCAACCTAAATTCCGCCAACAGCTGTCCCCATCACGCGGCAGGGAGAGGGGAAGAGCACTTACACTTTCGTTGTTGTGGGTCATGTCTGGTTGCTTTCGATTGGTGCTTATTGCGAGTATCTGTTTGCTTTTGCTTCGAGTTTGTTTTTCTTCTGACTGAGAAAAAAGACTTATGCCCAGTTACCACGGACAATGCATCAGGCAACCAACACGCTTGAACTTCCCCAGCGAGAATCTGCATTGGCAGCGAAACAGACGGGCTGCAGTCACAACAAGCGCACATATTCGGTGTTCGAAACAGTGGGCGTGAAGGCGTGGCTGAGGCTCTGAGCCCTTGTACACATGCGGTAAAAGCATTCCATAGAGGTACGATTGAGTTTTGGTGGGTGGTTTGAGGCCGGATGGTTGAAGCCCCTTCAGTCAAAGACAGCAGAACCACCCATGCGGCCAGTTTGGGACTGTCCCGGTACCGCTTTGCAATTCTCGCGGTCCATCTTCGTGACTCCGAATGTCACTGCGGATACAATGGCTGTCTCTTCGTCTCGTGGATTCGCTCCAATTCTTGTGCCACACGTTGTCACCCCCTTCAAATGCGCAAAAATATCCACCACCAAAATGAACCCACGGAATTCGGCATGTAAAATGCTAAAGAGTCGGTACTCATGCCTCTGAGGAGTACGAATGCGGACGAGGCTGATTCTTTCGTTGTGGCAAGACGGTTGTTTAAGATTGTTCAGCTCCGGTCGAGAGTCCCACGTTTGACGGCGGATGAGATGAAATTGAGTCACTCAGTTCAATTGAAACGGAGACGCGTTGGAAGGTTGCTGGTGGTTGGGGTAGTTTCAATCCCCCACCGAGTTTGATCTTGTCAAATCAAGAATCATCTGATAATGGATGGCCAAAGATGGATCTTGACACGGATAGGATTACGGTTGACGGATATTGATCGAATGTCCAAGCTCGGATTCTGTGCTTTGGCCTTACAGTTTTCTCAGCCGTTTGCACATTGTTTGCTGCACAATACGGGTCAGGTAAATTCTTCAACCGAACAACAACTGCATTACTTCTTACCTAAATACATACATAAGCCGTTTCTTATCGCAGCCAGCGCGTAGTGCGGCGCGTGCGGGTTTCTACGTCCTTGGACTGGCAGGGAAATTTAACCATTCCATGAGGGAAAGAATGGCCGCCTTGCTAGGAGGTTGAGATATCGTGTCGACTATGAACTGAAGATGTTGCGTGGATCCGACGGAAGGCATGGTTTCGTCATTCTCTGGTTGTTGTGGCAGGTTTGCTTTGTTGTGATTGGTGCACCTTCACTGATCGAGAAATATTTCGCAGAACAAATGGAAGAGCCAGAAATTCTGCGAAGCACTTCATCAACAGCGGTTTGGCTCCAGCGGGGGTTGCTTACAATTATCGGCGTGCACATTCCGCACTCTTAATGGAAGGAGGGAATGTGGGGTTTGTTTACGTCAGCCACCCCATGACAAATAACTCTAACACTCGAAACAAGAATGAAGTTTAGATGATGGTATTATAACACTTTTATTTGGCATTATCGGTTTTCCATCCGTTGAGGCGAGCGGTGTCAGATGGCGGGGAACATTCACTCTTCTTCATCTGGAAAATTCGCCCGACGTATGAACAGAGGAATTCAGACAATTCGTTCCTTTTCTTCTGGCTTCCACGTCTTTTTTGTGACCAAACAGTTGGAGTCATGAAATAAAATAGCTCCCTTGGAGCGCGTCTTTTGCTTGTAGAAGTCTTTCATTATGTTGAAGTGTATGCATGTTCTATTCCATTCGCCTTGCGGACTTCTGGACAGAGATCTTTGTCTTGGAATTGCCAGGTTGAGGGGTCTCCCACCTTCTCCATCGTCACGAGGATGATTTTCGTCATCTTGCGGTTGAAGCCAATCCTGCCGAGAAGGATTCAGTAAGAATTCTCTCGATACACATAATCTTGTGCCATCCGTCGGTCATGCATTTTTGAGCACATAAAATCCAATGCAATGAGACCAACCTGGTTGCGCCTGCTCATTTTTACGTTCTCCGTCTACTGATTTCCTTCTCCCTGACGCGTGGGCGACTCAACACGGTTTCCCGCTGAAGGGTCAGGAGCTCCATTTCCTTATCAACAGCAACAACTGAAACGCGCTCAACATAAGCCCCACTGTGTCTGTATACATCCGGACTGTCAAAAAAAGCATCCAACAACAGAACCAACGCGACTTGCATCTGAACTCAAACGCATCCGGCTGGCCCAGCATGCTCTCAAGCTGTTTCAGGCTCTTGATTGAGCGCGTCGGAGTGCGACATTCGAAGATGACGAAGATGGGAGCTAGGTGCGGCACTATGAATGCTTATGCACTGCAATTAAGAAGTGGCCCTTCCATATCCAGAAGATGCCCCATTGTTGATTGACAGACTTGTTACTCTTGCTCCAGTTTGGGTTTTGAAATTGAAATCCGTGCAGCGCCAGCCGGTTACCAAAGTTGTGGCCCGCTTCAATCTCTTTGTAAATGAAAAGTTAGGCACAGCCTGGGCTGCGGATGAGGGAATATTGTATTGAAACAGGGCCACCGTCAAATACGTGTCGTCCAGTGCAGCATGTTCGTTTTCGGATGACAAGTGTTATTTATTTATCAGTAAAAAAACCATCATTTCGCGGGCGTATGGCAAAATGGTTACCGCGTCTGACTACGAATCAGGAGATTCCAGGTTCGACCCCTGGTACGCTCGTTTTGCTTCTAACATCTGCTTTGAACGACGATATCTGGAACGAATGACGTGCTGCAGACTTAATGTTGACCTGTTGCTGGCACACGTTCATCTGCTCGTGAACTGTCTGAAAGATTTCTGATGGAGAGACTTGGTGAAGGTGGAGGTTTTAAAAATAACAAAACATAAATGCGCCGGAGGCGTTGCGGATCCAGCGAATCGAGCACATCCAGCAGCGAAGACAGCGACGGTTTCGGTGGCGACAAACCGAGCACCAGCGGCAATGGGCAACGACGGATGCGCATGAGAATGGGAAGCGACAGCAGCCAGGGACGAAATACAGCGTTGAATCCAAGCGTTGGAATAAGCGGCCCAGAAGTGGGAATGGCTGGTTCAGACTCAGGAATGCGCAGTTCAGAATCAGGTGTGGCTGAGCAGGGACTTGAAGCGGGAGTTATCGACACCAGCATGAACACGGGCTCGAAAGCAACTGCTCCTCGGCTGCTCAGCAACCCAAGTAACTCGGTCGCAATGACGCGTTCGTTTTCCCGTATATCCACACCGCACTCGCACTCGCACTCCTTCAACTACGCCATGAAACGGCCTTCTCCGATTCGAACGACCATGTCATCAGCATACTCTGCGTCGTCCTCCCCCAGTAGCGCTCATATGAATGGCGGCAGGAGAATGAGCATCATCAAGGACACCCCAGCCACGCCCATGCCTGTGAACCATCCATCATCGCCGATGGATGTTGTCTCATTGAAGGTTTTGCTCCAAGATTGTTATCCTTGACTGACCTTCTGCTGAACGTGGTTATATACGTCCAGAAACATCCGAGTAGTTTTTCGCGTGTTGCCACACTGATCAAGGTTACCAAGCTCTCGAATACTTCTGATGTCTCACTAAAACAGATTTTTTTTGAACAGCGAGAAGCACGCCCATTCGATGAAGAACTGGCGCACGAAAGCGCAACGATGGCATTTCTCAATCGAATAAACCCGACCCTTGAGCTGGCGGCAGAATTAAATTCGGGCATTGCTGCCGACCCCACGAATATCTCTCCATCCGATTCTGTCTGTTTGGGTCGTTTGGATGAAGTGATTCTGGTTGGTGCTTATTTTCCGAATCATTTTTGCGCCATTAATAGAAGGAACTACTGCTCAGGAGACAACTGTCCCACTCCCCCGAACTATACCGATACCAATTGCGCATCTCAGAGACCCCGCAAGCTATGCATCCCACACATCAAAATTGAATCCCGAAAACAATTCAGTGAGTTAAACTGGCGGACCGGATATTTCTTGTTCTGAATTGCATCTGCATTTGTCATCTTGTCAGCTCATGTACCGGCAACCATACGAAACCGCGAGTCCTATTCTTTCTCCAAACACGCACTCCGCGATGATGCTATCTCCTGTCGTGGGACGAAGCGCAAAGCGCAAGAGTTGAGATCTCTCAATTTTATTTTGTGGTTGACTTTGCGTAATCATTCCATTCCAGTGAGCATTGGATCGGAGGATCGATATGAGCCATACAAGCGAAGAATCCCAGCAAGCCCCTCCACTAGCAATACCATGTTCATGAGTCCGACAACGCAGCCCATGTCTTTACCCAACAGTCCATCCACAATGTCATGGTCGCACGGCGGCGTTGTAAACTCCACCAGCGCTCTTGGACGCGATTTATTTGCTCATCCTGCTGCGTCTTCCTCATCGAATACTGCTATAAGTTCATCTGTAACAGGAGGAATGGGGAGCGCGCATTCAAGCAACAGCGGACTGGCGGTCCCCATGAATGTGTCACAGCAGCAACAGCAGCCTCTTTTGCCTGCACCTGTGTTGGGATTGAAGCAAACCCACCATAGCGGAATGATGATGTTGAGCAGCCCCATGATGCGTCGAAGCACGAGCGCGTCAAGTGCTGGAAGTAATGGGCATAGCATGTTTATGGGCGGTGATCGGAGCGGTGGGGCGAATTTTGGAGGAGGATCTTCGGCGGGTGGAAGTGCGTTGGCACATCCGCCCGGTAGTCCGAGGGTTGGTGTGGTTTTTGGTGGTGGCGCAAATGTGGTCGTTGCGAGTCCTAGGGGTACAGGAGGAGTAGGATCGGCGGGACAGTTTGGGCAGTTGCTGAATATGGGTGGAACACAGGACCATTTGTCGAAAATGAGTCTATCGTGAGACTTGCACTTGGGGTTGCAGAATCATGGGCCAGGGTTTGAGTGTGTGTATAAATGAATGGATTTTTGGTTTTGATTGATGAAAACTTATCAGAGAACATGGCGCTTGACCACACAGCTGCATCCGCCCAACTCGCTTTCGAAGAATCGATCATTGCCTCGGCGCCTTCCCTGGTCCAGCAGGACGGTGAATCCCGCAATGCATTTGTCGGTCGTTGTCTCCTGGCCCAGCAGAATGCCGCTGTCTCCATCGCAGTGAAAGCAGAGTCTGGGGAAGTCATCTGGGCAAGTACCTACGGAACTCGCCGAAATGCCGAAGGTCTTGCCGTTGCAGTGACCAAGGATCCTGAAACAGTTGAAGTGGTTGTACCCGGCTTTGTTGCTGAGGCGGACAAGGAAGAATTCATTACCAACGCCAAGGCTGATCGGGCAAAAATCGTGGGTGAAAGCTCGACTGACACTGCCGAATCACTCGGCATGCTCTCAGTTCCCCCCACCACTTCAACAGTATTCCAAGCAGCATCCATCTCCAAGCCAATCAGTGCCATGGCTATTATGCGCTTGGTCCAACGCGGAATCTTGGATCTGGACACGGATATTCATGTTTACCTTGCCGCTGCCGAGTGGAAGCTTCCAGTGGAGCTGCCTGAATCTGTCGAACCTGAGTCAAAGACAACGCTCAGACAACTGTTGGCTCATACAGCAGGAACAAGTGTGCACGGGTTTGGAGGATATAACCGCAAGGATGCCAGAACCAACAAGATTGAGATTCCGTCCGTTGTGGGCGTGTTAAATGGTACTGGAAACTCTGGTCGAGTCGTCTTGCATGGCCCCCCTCGAATGTATTCCTTCTACAGTGGCGGTGGAACTACGATTGCTCAGCTGGTTGTGGAGACCGTGACAGGTAAATTAAGGTTTTCACCGGTGGATACACGCGTTTTGAATAAATTTCGTATCATCCAGGCAAAGCAATGCGACAAGTGCTGCAAGAAGAAGTGTTTGAACCTTTAGGGCTCGAAAACACTACAGCAACACTCGACGATTCGCCAAATGGCGGAGACTTTGTTTGCGGACATCTTGGCTCCGAGGCCCTTCCACTTGCGGGAGGCTACCACCTGTATCCAGAAACTTCAGCAGCAGGTGTATGGACCACGGCGACGGATTTATGCAAAATTCAAGACGCTGTTGTAAAGAGCTTGAAAGGAGAACCTGTTAACGGTGCCATCTACCTCGACGCAGCTGTCGCAAAAGAAATGCTCATGTGTCGGTTTGCCGGGCCGGAGGGAGTAGCGTGTGGAGTTGGATGGATGGTTGAGGCAGAGACTTCACGGTTTGCGGTAAGTTCCATCATGCCATATATCTCAGTCACTGTCCTTCTAATTATGCTCTATTCACCAAATAGCATTCCGGTGGAAATGAAGGATTTATTTGCGACGCTTCAACATACGCAAACACAGGCGCTGGTATTTCTTGGATGATGTCGGGTGAAGGTTACAGTCAAGTTCAAGATGCCGTCAACGCCGTTAAAACCGCCTTGAACTTTCCTGTTGCTACCAAACCTGCGGAGGAAAAATATACTCTGCTCACATCAGAAGAGAAGATTGCAGGAACTTATCTGTTCAAAGAGTCTTCTTTGTCGGATCAATACATTCGCGTGTCACGACGGTCCGACAAAACTGTGTTTGAGTTTTCGACCTTGAAGGGTGAGGTTGTTGGAAAGCCAGCCGGAACGGAGGGAGAAGACGCATTCACATTCAATGTTATGCCGCGCGTGACGAGTGCAAAGTTTAAAGTGAACTCGCAGGGCCAGACTTTGTTGATGATCGCTGGGCTGACCTTGGTGAAGCAACCAACGTACTTCAAGCGCACGACGGTGACCACAACAACCATGCCGGCAGTCGCAGAAGGGCCCAAGACTACCAAGGTTGTCAAGAAAACTGAATTTTATGTGGAGCGTTAAGTTCTCTCTGTGGGTTGTTTTTCTGAATCTGTTTTTACTATTGCGCCTGCCAGTTAATAAATGCAAGATGAGAATATATCAACTGGCTCGGTTTTGTTCAAAAAGTCTGAAACAACGCATTTATTCGCGCTCAACTCAACCAGATTGTTCAAACAAAAGGTCCCCAAACATCATTTTAACTTTACCACTGTCTGCAACAGTAAATTTGGCCACGATGCTCTTGAAAACATCAAATTTGAACGCATCATTTTTGGTAGCTTTTGCGACAATATCGTCAGAGATGGATGCAAATCGAAATATCAACGCACTTTGGTCAGTGTCAGAAAGAGCGACAAGAATCTTAACTCCTCCGTCACGCTTCTTCAAGACAGAGTCCACCGGCAGATATCCTCCGACGCACTGAATCAGTGCTGATGGAGGAATTTCCGCAGTTTCTTCTTTTTTCGAAGTCTCCTTCTCCTCAATTGGAAACTTGTAAAATACGTCCAAGGCATCCAAGCCGGCTTGCACTTGCTCTCGAACTTCGCCAGACAAAATCCAAGAATAACCCGCACCGCTATCGATGAAAGTGTAAGTGCCAGATCGGAAGCCTTCGTTCCATCCAGTGTGCCTGAACTGGTCAGACCCACCAACCTTTTTCACCTCCCATCCAATTCCATAATAAAACTTTGAGTCATCAGGAAATCTTGGAGTGAGCATATCGATAGCCAGGCTTTGGTCCAGAAAGGTTGCGCCGTTCACCAAACGCCCGTTCCAGCTTTTCCAAACTGCGTCGGAAATCAAGCATAAATCCAGTGCACTGGACCAGATTCCTGCGGCAGCTGTTTCTGGGTAGATTCGGTAGCCTCCTGGCAATGGAAGGCCCTCGGTCCCTGTATG